TTGAGAGAGATGAGAGGCCGGCTGAGATCAATTCTCTCTTCAAATATAATTGATTGCCAGCCTTCCTTGTCCCTGGCTGGCTTGCTAGCTCGTTGATAACGTAACTAATTTCTTCTGATGTGCCTGCATCTGGCGCTGAGTTGCCATATTCCTTTCATGAACCACTTCCTGATATCCATTGTTGCAGATAAATATAAATGATAATAGCCAAACTAACCTAACAAGAGTAAACTGACAGGCTGCTGCGCCGCATCTCACTCAGAAACCCACACGACTCAACCCAGCGAAAAACCAGTCTCGCGCACAGCCTTTCATTCAGAATTTCATAGCAAAATAAAAAATGATATTAAACTAATCTTTCTACATAGTTTAAAACATAATAAAATATTAAGACAAAGCCCCACAAATAACAACAATAAACATAATAATAAAACAATTAAAATGTTGTATTCAGCTCTGATTAAAACAGCGGGCCCAAATCCTTGATGGGCGGGCCCGGCCCCATGGGGCCCGAGCATGACGCCTGGTCTGGCCGCAGCAAATGATAGTGAGAAGCTAAACTATCTATTAATATGTCAATTACAGGGAGTGTGATTGTTAAAATAGGGTGTTAGCAGTCTTGCTGTTCAAAGAAGAAAGACAACACTGTAGATCACCAACACTATGGTTTATTTTTTATTCACAGGCAAGTCAACGTTCTCGCAGTAAAAGTCCCAAGATAGCTCCTGGTGCAATACAATTTTCCCTTTCNCTTAGTGTTTAGTAATTATTAGATCTTAGTGCTGCCCATCTGTGTTGACAACAAACAAAACATTAATATTAGACCAACTGGAAAACTGTGGGTGGGGGCTTTCGGCAACAGTGTCTAAATTGATATGAATCCTACAGGAAACTTTGTTTCCTATAGGTAAACTACCAAATCTGGAGCTTGGAGGTGCTGACCTCTGGGGTCCTCAAGGCTCCCATCTTCTGGCGGCCTTTTCTCTTGAAACATCTATGGATATAACATGGCTCAAAAATGAAAAACAACACAAAAAGTAAGTTTACGATAGCTATGCAGACGATACCTCATAACTTACATAACTCATTTCCACCAAGAAATATGACTCCACACTGAGTAAGATGCATTGAACTGGATGTGTCAGAACTTTCTTCAATTTTACAGATAGTGGGAAACTGAGGGGTAATAGTTTTTGTAGCCAAGGAGGACAAAAAAAATAAAAAAATTAAAAAAAGTCTGCGCTAGCTTCAGTCGAAAATGTTCAAAACAACAGAAAAAGTCAGAAATCTAAGCTGTAGTCATGGTCTGAACCTGAGTTTCAACAGTTACATGTAAAATAAATTACTAAGCTCAGCCCTACTACCCTCGCATTAACAATAATAGTTGGACGGATTAAAAGACAATGATCACAGAGGGATTTGCGGCCGAACAGAGACGCGGCAGGCGGGGGTTATCTTCAGCTAGAGCTCGACACTGTAAAATGTGCTGCTTTACAAGGTCCTCAACTAAAGACATTGAATAGAAGGCTGCAGCTGTTTGTCAACGAACTCTGATTTAAGAAAGTAATGCTGTCGTTTTATTAGCATTGAATGGCATCCACGCAACTCATAAAGAGTGGCTTTATAAAGAAACTTGCCCTTTCCTTACCTAGAGACGCCAGCCTCCAACATTTAATGAAACTCCTTTTCGAAATCATGACCCCGGTTATTCCACCGAAGAAACCAGTGAAGTGACAGTCAGTACAGGCACTGCAGCACTCCGTACCTGCCAAGCGTTAAACAATGAAGCCTCGCATCTACTCGCTGCAAGCAGGGGTACTCCGTGCAAGACTGCAAAATCAATTGTGTCTCTCAGCCTGAGCTGTAAGTGTTGTGCTGTCGAGTAGGATTGACATGCTTGCCTTCCACGTGGTGCATATACGATTGGAAGGGTGGGCGGTGTAGTTCGGCTAGAAGCGAACATGTCAGTTGCCCCGTGGAAAAGCTCAAAACCAACAGTGTTATCGTATTATCCTTGAGTGACCTGGAATCACATCGGGCGGATTTCCTTGAAATGAGACATGCCCTGTTGAGTGTTTTTATGTCGTTTTCTTAAGAGTTTGAGACTTCCAACTTATATTGATTGAGAAAACAGTTCACAAGAGAACACCATCAGCTTAGTTTACAGATGATGGGACAGACAGAGATGATATATTATATAGTTTTAAAGTTTAGTGTTATGCACACCAAAGTAACTTTACGCTTGAAATACATTATCACTTATTACATACCTATGTTGTGGAATATATATTTGGTAAAGCTTGTTCCTCCATAAATAGCTTGTGTCATTATGATGCCTATGTTTAAATTTTTAGCTTGACTGCAATTTGTATGTCTGTATGTGTAAGTGCTCATTGTATGTCTTTCCAGTCCCTGGAGAGCACAAGGCCGGATCTGATGCAGGCTGGTGAAGAAGGTACACCACACATGCCAAACACACACACACATGCATGCATGCACGCACCACACACACACACACACAGCACACACACGAAAGTGTACGTGGTAGACGACTCAAGAGGACTTGCATGTTGATTAGAAAACTCTGACATCATGTACATTATGTTAGCTCCCGCAAGTCTTAATAAATAATGTACATCAGTGTTGATTTGTGTGGTCATTCCAGGACAAGGGCCGGGACCCTGAACCAACTTTTGCTCGCCCTGGGCAAGATTTAGAGCTGCGCGCCCCCCCCCCCAAATGCAGACGACGGGTTACACTTACACGTATGACTTGCGCGTGCACGGTTGTGGCATCGGACCACCAAAACAGAAAGATATGGACACAAGATGTGTGCAACTTATTTAGTTTCCTATCCATTTCAACATGATTTAAGTGGGGGCGGCGCACCTCCTCTAGGGGGTGCGGGGGGCATGCACCGCCCGGGGCAGGACTTTTTTTCTTTTCTAATATGTGAAGGTAAAAGCATGGCAAATCTGGTGGCACTTCTGAAGAGCAACATTAGGAAAATCTACATGCCGATACATCTCTCAAAACCCATATAAAGAACTGTAAGCAGATTTTCTTTTTCTTTATGGATATTTTACAAATCACTCCCCTTTCAAACTGTATTCTTGTTTATTAATAACAACTTGTTTGTACTGTCATACTCATATAGTATTTTATACCTGTTTTTCACCTATTATCTTATTTTTTTTATAACTATAATGATCATATAAAGGTGTGCCTTTACCTCACTGAGTTGAGGTTATCAGAGCCACTCAGTCTTTCAGGAGAGAACTCTCTAAAGCTCTCCCCCCCCGCGGCCGCTTACAAGTAAATTCCAATGTTAATAAAAGCACACAGAAGCTGTGTACGTTTTTGGGGAGTTTGATTTATTTTAAATTAACACAAATACAAAATTAAAACCTATAATTGCACACTAAAACCATTATTTCAAAAAAAGAACAATTTCACATCAACCT